GTCATCTGTCCCCACTGAGAACGGTTTAACCCAGGTAGTAGTTGAAGGCTGCTATTAAATCCCCCCTCAGTCTTCTCTTCTCCAGACTAAATAAGTCCAGTTCCCTGAGCCTCTCCTCATCAGTCATGTGCCATAGTCCCCTAACTATTTTCGTTGCCTTCTGCTGGACTCCCTCCAATTTGTCCACATCTAGGAAAGGCAACATCTAAGTAAAAAATAGATATCTCCTCAGCTGCCCCTTCACCTTGGAAACACCTAAGTTAATTAGGAGTCTACCCGTCTGACATCCAAGGTCCCGATGTGCCTCCACTCCAGCACACAACCAGAACCGCCTTAGGTAGAGCAGCTCAGCACCCATCTTCTGCTTACGCTTTACTAGGATCCAGAAATCAGGTGTTCCTGTCTCTAATTCCCCAGAGGGGCCTGATCCAGGAGGCATGCTTATAGAGCGTGCTTAGCATTCACAAAATGCAAAGGTGGCCATTTTATTTTCAAATGAAACCCACAGACGTGTGGCTTTGCCCTGTTGTCATATGACAGCTGAGTGGTTCAAGCATTCAAGCAGGAAATGGGAGCCCTGGATGAGAAGGGTCAAATCCAATCTACTCACCCCCAAGAAGAGCACCCCAATGACAAGGATCTCAGTGAGTCCAATTAGGTGACACTCTCCACCTTTCCTATCTAAGCCAGGCAATTCTGTAGCCAAGAATGCGATATTCATTGCAAAAGAGGGGAAGCACAAGTGGAAGCATGACTCTGTAGCCCAGTGTTTTAGGTGCTCTACTGGGAGTGTAGGCAGACCAGGTTCTTTGGGTAGCTTTGATGTCTTTTATTAGACCAACTAAATAGTTGGAAACATTGTTCTTTGCAAGCTTTTGGGCACAAACACCCTTCTTCAGACATAGGAGGGCGTTTGTGCCCAACAGCTTGCAAAGAACAATGTTTCCAACTATTTAGTGAAAATTTAGTGAAACTTTTGTGAGAGTTGGTCTAATAAAAGATATCACATCTACCCAGTGTCCTGTCACATCTGCCTATGTCCTTAGACGAACATGGCTACAACCATCAATCCCAACTGGGAGTGTGAAACTCCTGTGTTCAAGTTCCTGCTCTAAGGACTACATGCATTTTACATGATGCAGCAATAGCTTACATATGATACAAGACCCATGGTTCTGGGGGAAAAAGGCATTTCCTGTAGCCCTGAGACACCCAAGTCTCAGCTTCAGACACACAAGGACTAAGACTTTTCCCTGTCCTCAGCATTTCCTGTTGACTAGCTCAAAGCAGTTCCCTGCTTGGCAGGTTGCCTGTTTTGGATCCCATTCTTGAACGTATAAGGGCATGTCTGTACCGTTAACTTATCATGCCAAACTGTGTTTCAGGACTGAGGAGGGGCTCAGTGAGTCCCATCTTTTGCCTGAAAGAATCCCTCTTCATGCCAACTCCATGAGACTAGAAGGTATCTATCGTCTCAACTCTATGCAAAGCAAGGTTGATGATTTCTGGGGACAGGGAACAAGGAAGGCAACTGATAGCCCCCTTATCAGGAAGCAAGACAGACCTCAGGTTCATGGAAAGCTGAGTGGTTTAACAAGTGAAGGAAGGCAGCATAAATTGCTGAGCGTAAAAATAATTCAGTGTGCACTGACACCGTCTGCGTCAGCTTCCAAAATGTGCCTCACATGCCCTCGCGCACCGGTTCTTGCCATATGCCCTGCCCATTTCATTCTCTACACCCTTATATTACAAAGCACCTGATGTCTTAAGCAAGATAATGAAAGAGAATGAAATAGGCTGGGGTATCATGAGAACTAATGGAGAAAGATGTGAAGCAGATTTGGGAAGCTGAGGTGGAGGATATCAGATCTTGAGACATTCCAATGCAGCAATGGGAAGATAACTTAAAAACTGATCTGAGAGGGATAGGGACACCTGGATGCTCACCTTTGCTGGGGTCATCTGACCCCAACTGACTTCCTGCCCTTTGGGCAAGGGGTGGGACCAGATGATCTCACGAGGTCCCTTCCCCTAATGTCTATGAAATCTATGCAATCTATGAAACCTATGAAATCTAGGTGAAGATAAAAAAAAACTCTGGAAAGGAATTGTGCAAGATGAGGAGATAAAAGGCTCTAGTTGAAACGGTTGCAGGTTCTTGAGGCCCGTGAGACAAGAGAAGGAGAGTGTTCTCCCAGTGTTTCCTTGAGCTTGGTTGACAAATTCTGGTCAAACACCATTCCACATCCTGCTTAGTCCTTGGTCCATTTGCTTTCATTTTTATTATCAATCTGGAAGAGAAGAACTCATGCAGATCATACAACTGGTTCCTGACCTGCAAAACTTGGACCGGGCTCTGGACATTGCCAAGATGCTTGCATCTGGTGTTTGGATTTGGGCCCTTAATATTTAAAATTAAATGTGCATCTTCTATATATAAAACCCTGAAGGGACAGGTGCTTCACTGTCCTGTTGTCTTAGCCAATGCGGCACTGGTCCTTCTGACCCGAGGAGTACACAGACCCTCACATTCACGTGCACAGGGCTGTCAACAACAATGTTGATAAAACCTGGCTCACAAACTGCATAGCTTGCAAAGGCCTGGAGCACCGAGAAAGGCTGTTCTCATGGGGCTTCCTGAGGTAGAAACCACAAACCTCAGGGGCTCTCTGGCCCAGTTTTGCAAAGCTAGTTGGACAGGGACGCAGATGGTGTGCACCCAACGGGATTGCAAGCACATTAATGATTTGCCTACGGTTAGTTGTGATGTGCAAGTCTTAGCAGGAATCAAGTCTGAACCTAGGATGTGGTTGGGTGAATTCATTGCACAACAATGTATATTGTGATGTATATTGTGCAAAAATGAAACAGGAAAGCAAGGAGAGGACGACTACACATTTTTGGGGAAAACTCAATATTTTGATGGATACAAAACCTCATATCCATTTTCCAACTGCCCCTAAATGGAGGACCCAGCTGAACCATGATTTTTGGAGGGGTTTTTAAATGTGTGTCTGCTTCCTTCTATACTACTCCTTTCTCCGGCTGTTGGTGTGTGAAGCAATGTGGACATCTAGTGGCTTGGAGGGATTGCTACCGGCTTGCAAATCCTATTTTCACACCTCTCCTTAAACATTCTCCGGCATTTCTCATATTGCATTCAGGACATGACTGTCTCTAAGGTGCTGCAGTGCTATGCGGCCCTTTCCACTTGAGGCTCTCAAAGCACCTTGCAAATTAACATGCGCTCACAATGCAACCCCAATGACTGAAGGAGACAATGAAGTGCACAGAAGCAAGGCAACTTTCTGCAGTTCCTGTGATGCAGCCTCTGCTCTAACAGGTAGAAATCACACGAAGGCTTTTGAAGGAAGCAGGGGACTTGTCTTTCTCCACTAGGTGCTAATGGCAGGTGGGCCCCTGAAGGGAGAAGGGAAACAGGCCAACCTGTCAACACAGGGCATGCTGAAAAGGTCAGGCCTGGATGGCCTGTTAACATCAATCACCGGAGATATTTGACATCCAGGTTCCTAATGACTCCTGCTCCTCTCTTGTAGAGTTAACAAAGGGAAGGGGAAGCGAGGGGATCAATCTCTCCTGTGTGAGGAGAATGGGAAATGAGAGAAAACATGGAGGCCCTTGCAAAAAGCTCCTATCAGTAGCTCTAAGGAGCATCCTGCAAGCTTCTGGGGAGACCAATCCATCCTCACAGTCCTGAAACTATGGCATGCTATATGCAGCTTTGCAGACTTTCAGTCATTGGCAGCCCCTCAGTCTAGGGCAGCAGAAGAGGTGCATTACACAGAGCCCTTCCCTTCATTGCATCATTAGTTCTCCGGAGAGAATCATCCTGCCGTCCTCTCTGATTGGCAGAGCAGTCGGTGCTAAAAAGAGGTTTTGCAAGAAATGCCGCCTTATGGATAGACAGACAATCAGGGAATTCAAACAGAATGAGCCCCAGGCAATAGCAGATTCAAGTGTAATGGGATGTACATCCAAAAGATGCCTCTTGCCCCTTAAAAATAATAAAGTCTGCTACCTCCCCATCCCACCCCCTCAGGGGATGAATTCTCCACCTGCCACTTCACCATAACGGCCTTCTGCTTTCCTATGTTTCTCCTCTATTTCCAAAAGGGCATGGTCTTCTACTGCTGGGCAGGATTGCAGTGAGCTATTAAACACCTGTGATGCTCCACCCTAGCGGCAGGTGCATTTCTCTGTTGTGCCTCCTGTATAAAACTCGTAAAAACTTTTGTGAGATCTTGAGGAGAGAAGAACAGTACAAAAAAAATTGGGGGGAAAAAAAAGAAAGAGCACAACTTGTTTCTAATGCATCCTATCCAGTTGGTTAGGAATTAATTACTTAAGAATCCATTCTGCTCTGCAGATGGCCGGCTGCATTTCAGTCACAAGTTAAGTGCTTTTCTAGGTGCCAGCGTGATGCTTGCAGAGACGGGGAAGGAAGCACTCTCTCGGCGCATAAGGGGTAAGTCTACTGAGCTGGGGAGAAGGGCAGGAGGAAGTACAAATATATGGAGCTCCATTCCCCATGTGCAAAAGGAGTGGGGTGGTTGTAAGCCATTTTGCAATAGGCTCTCCATTACAAAAAGGCTTTTCTGGCACATACCGGCTCGTTTGTGCCACTCTGATGGTGTTGATTAAACCTACATCCCGAGAGTGGTAAGCCTGACCCTATATTATTCACCCAACACATGTGATATTGAACTCAATAGAGACCTGAAACAGATTGCTCTCCCCCCAGTAGATTTATCCTGATCTCAGCTCTTCCCAGTTTCTTCACAGAACCCAGCCCTGCCACTGGTCCCCACCCCCATGGGTCTAACAGATGAGGATGCACTGAAAATAGAGGCCATCGACTCACATCTTCCCAATCAATTAAAATGCAAATTGGGAGGAAAAAAATGAGGCATGCAAAATTCAGTTCCCACTTCACCGCTCACTCAGGGCCGATCTTATTAGCGCTGGGCTCAGGCACTCACGTCCATCAGCTGTCCGGGCTTCCATGTGCACCAGGTCAGGCTCCTTATCCAAACCCGCTACGGACCTGGGGAAGTGGAGAGAGAAGGGAACTAGTGAGATACAAGGCTGTGAGCGGGGAGAGCTGGACATGGATGTTTCCACTGCTCTGCTTTGAGAGACCACTTTGGAATACGAGTGGATTTAATAAATATATGAAGACATCATGCGAACAGTGAGCACAACTCCACACCATCTACCCCTATTTCTCCACTGCAGTTAGCTGGAGTCAGGGGTACCCAGGGTAGCCTGGACCAGGTCCGAGTATTTCCACAACAAAACCCTGTGTCCTCCCACACTTCTATTTTTGCATTTGCCCATGGGCATCCGAAGGGATTTCACTTATCCTTCAATACCTTCCCAAGCATTTGTGCTGGAACTTGCCTCAGGGGAAGTTGTAGCAAGGGCACTGAAGGACTATCAGCACTACAATGATCTTGCCTGCATCTCCACTGCAAAGGGAGCTCCTTCCAGCTGTGGCGGGGATTGAACTCCTCTCCCCAGCTGTGCGAGGAAGCCTGGCCTCCACGCACAAACACACATGTGCTTATGGCAGTCGGGCCAAAAGTGCATGTAAAATCACAGTACAGCAAACAGAGACGCCACAGTGAGGGTGTGAGCTGGTCCCCAAAGAGCTGGGCTGTCCTCCCACATATTAAAAGACTGTCCAGGAGATTGCATGTCTTATCATTTCCTTGACTTCCTTTGAAGCATGAGAGCTGCCAGACCCCAGACTACTGGCACGTGAAGTCTGATCATTCATTTCACGCAGGGTTGGGACCAAATTGAAACACAAGAGATGAGTCCTCCTATCATCCTAGGTGTCTGAAAGCCCAGTGTTCAGGGGCTAAGCCTCTCTCTGATGCAGAAGGGACCAGTATGATCATAGCATCTGATGAAGTAGCCTGTAGTCCTGAAAGCTAATTGCTGTCTGAATGAGTTAGTCTCTAAGGTGCTGCCCTGCTCTGCCTACTGCCCTTTACATAAATATTGATCCAACAGGCTGCAGGAATCATTGGCTGAACCCATCCAGCACCTTGCAGCTGAAGTATAGTACATAAATACACTGGGACAGTGAAAGATGCCCTACAATGTCCAGCCCATGAAACCTACCTACCTACCTACCTGGATACAGCCCAGTGTGTTTCTAGCCCATTACCTCACTATAATTATCTGACATTGCTCTGTCCAGCAGAGGTGGGAGAACCCAGGACCCCATTTATGGAGGAGATGTGCTGCAAGAAAATTGCCAGATTTTATATGAAAAGATGGGCTGGACAAGCTGAATTTAAACTCAGCCTAACCAAACTGTCTGAAGTTGTCCAGATCAGCGCTTAATGTAGCGTGTGGTGCCCAACAATTACTCTTCACCCAACAACTACTGAGGCTCCCCAGATTGAACATATTGTTCTCTACCGATGGTCAATATTGTATTGCATGCTTTGTTTGCCAGCTTGCAACTGGCCCCTGGGGTACCAGCACAACTACTCTTCCCCAACCAGCTCCTGTACCCAGCTCCGGGGCCAACTATGGTCACAGTCCCTGCAGTCTGCCTTCAGAGGGAAGAGTCAGCTTTCTACCTGAGCCAACTGGAGACAAGAGCATTTAGAAAGACATCCTACCTGACCTCAGCAGGCTTCTTAAGGCACACTTCAGTCCAACAGCCCCAGCAACCTGGACTTAATTCATTAGATCGAGTTCAACTCTGAACCAAATCATAGTGAAGTCCACAGACTTCATAGTGAAGTCTATGGACCAAATCATAGTGAAGTCCACAGACTTTACATACATTGACCATAGGGTCTTTGAATGAGATTCAATAGTAACAGCCAAATGTGTATGTGAGGTCTCTACTGAAGGGGAAAACCACATTCTCTCTTCTGGTTTTTTCAATTACGCCACAGCCCAAAAGACAAGGTCATGTTCTAGCTTCTGCTGTCACGTTGATGATGGCTTACTTGCATCTTAGGGGTGCTGTGGAA